CCCCCCAGAGAAGAGAACACCATTAAATCCAGTGATGGAATCATTGCTGCTGGGTTGTATATTTGCTTATCCACCATGCACACAGGCAGCCCATCTAAGTTGAACTCAGCTTTTAAAATGCATCACATAATGTTGACCTTGTTCTGTTGCACTGCTGCTTGGAAAAAACCTTTCTAACTAACCTTCCTTCCCTTCAACCTCCCAACAGCCACCTTATTCTCTGGCTAGCAATGACTAATACTAAAAATGTACCCAAATGTTTGGTCTTTTAAAAAAATCTTGGGAATAGAGAAAAGGCATTTCCTTACCTTCATTGTTCACCAAGCGGCATTACATTGCCATTTTCGTTTGTAGGGATCTGTCTACCTCATTACAAAAAGATAGGTCAGTTAGTTTAGTGGTTGGGACTGCCTGGGTGAAGAGGCCTATCATTCATTTATTAATTCACTCATTACATATTTTTGAGTGTCTAATCACTCTTTCTGAGGCGTAATACTAAACAGTGGTGACACAGAGATGAAGGCTTAAACCCTCTCCTCAGAGATCCATGTACCAGGCTCAGTATCCTCCACCTCTCATCTTCAGTGGTCAGGCCTCCAGGAAACCACAAAAAGGCACTCCCCTCCCTGTCCTTCCATACCAAGTCTTCTACACAATACACTAAGAAAACTCAGCAAAAATTGAAGAATAGCCCTGGCCAGTGTGGCTCAGTTGGTTGAGCATCAGCCCATGCACCAACTCGTCACTGGCTCAATTCCTGGTCAGGGCACATGCTCCAGTTGCAGGCTTGATTCCCAATAGGGAGTGTGAAGGAGGTAGTCAATCAATGAATTTCCCAATGATGTTTCTATCTCTCTCTCTCTCTCCCTTCCTCTCTCTGAAATCAATAAAAACATATATTTTTAAAAATTGAAGAATAACCCAGTGAACTGTTAAATTCAGTTCTGTCATTAAGTTCAATATCTCATTTTATGTCTTAGATTCCTTTTTTCCACTTTTTTTGGTGTCAGTAAAGCTTATCATTGTTTAGTGATTTTTGCCTCCCTTTCTATCACTCATGGATACCTATCACTCACAGTTGGTACCATAATTTAAGTAATAGATAAACATCTGAGTAAGTTTTGCAACAAGAAAATTTTTCTAAATTGAATCCTACTTAACAGAAGCCTATGGTGGCATATTTTGTTTCTATTCCCCCTTTACTATTGGCTAAATCTGAATTACTAGCTACAGTAAAACCTCAGTTGAATCTCTCTGATCATGGGCTGCTCTGATTTTTTTTTCTGATTAAGCAGAAATACTTCCCCTGCCTTAGTAAGTAGAACCTGTTAACCATCCCCTAATAAGATTGCAGGGCTTCAGACAAACCTTTTGAGTATCAGATTGGAAATGAAAGTGAAGCGGTTAGAAGACTAAAAATAAATGTGGACTGAACTTCATGTTGTTAGAAATTTGATATGAACTTGTTTGCTTGTGACTTGATTTTCTTTCTTAGGGTTGTTAAACACAGTAAACAAATCTAGTTCTAGTTATCAAGATTTTCTTGTGTTACTTACCCTCATCACTGCCCTCCAGAACTTCCAGATTGCCAGAAGCTTCATTTAGTGAGTCAGCCATACTAAGATCACTAAAGTAAAATATAGAGTAAAAAAACAAAAAATCATCACTTATATCCAGAACATAACACAATCATTTTACCCTACCCCTTATCCTTCAATTAGAGCAGCAATTTTCAACCGGTGTAAGGCAAGAATTTTTAAAAACATGCAATACCTGACTAGTCAAGGGCACTGACCTCTTTTCCCTTATATTGTCAAATTAAAAATGAAAACAGCCAACACAACAATAGCCGTCTGGTGTGAATGGCCTGTCTTCAACCGTAAATATATAGGTCATATAATAGAGTTGCATATTATTGGTCATGTCACATAATAAGGTTGTGTCTGATTGGTAAATTCTTAGTACCAAAAATCCTTATATCCAAGTATAAGCACCTGATTTTTTTAAAGGCCACTTTGGAAGAAAAAAGGTAGGTAATTATTATTAGTAGTAGTATTTGTAAATCAATCAAAATTATACCTATTTTTTGTCAGATTGGCAAAATGTATATTTTTTGGTGTGCTGCAGAATTTTAGTAATTAGTTTTTGTATGCCATGAGATGGAAAAGGTTGAAAATGGCTGAGTTAGAGTCTTAAATTATTCAAGAAAAGCATACAAAGGGAATTGCTATTAGAGAGAATTATCCTTCTTTTTAAAAAGACAGTGATTCCATTGAAATAAAATTCCAGAATAGGCAAACACATGGTCACAGAAAGTGTCTTACTTTGGGCTGCGGAGATAGGTTTTGTTTTTGTTTTTTGGGGGGATGGGAGCTGAGTGGCAGAATACAGGGTTTCTTTTTTTTATTGATGAGAGAGAGAGAGAGAGAGAGGGAGGGAGAGAGCGAAACATAGATTGTTCCACTTATTGATGCATTCATTGATTAATTCTTATATATACCCTTACCAGAGATTGAACCCACAATCTTGGCATATGGAGATGATGTTCTAACCAACTGAGCTTCCCAGCCAGAGCACACAGGGTTTCTTTTTGAGGTGGTGAAAATGTTCTAAAATTAATTGTGGTGATGGTTACACAAATCTTTGAATATATTAAAATACATTGAATTTTATACTTCAAATGGATTAATTGTATAGTATGGGTAAAGCTGTTACCCATCCCCATAAATCAGTAAAGGACAAACAACTCTATATAAAAGGGAACAAAGGATACAACAAAGAGTTTATAGAAAAAGGGATACAAATATCTAATAACCACATCAAGAAAGGCTCAGTTCCACTCATAATTTAAAAACTGTAAATCAAAATATCAAGTTAGGCCCGGCCGGCATTTCTCAGTGGTTGAATGTTGACCTATGAACCAGGAAATCATTGTTTGATTCTGGGTCAGGGCACATGCTTGGGTTGCCAGCCAGATCTCCAGTAGGGGGCGTCTTACATCGCTGTTTCTCTCTCTCCTTCTCTCTCTAAAATCAATAAAAACATATTTAAAATTACATATATAAAGTTAACATTTTCTCCTTTCAGGTTGTCAAAAAAAATTAACTTTGATGATGTTCCATTGCTGTCCTATATGGGAAAAATAGGCACTCATACATCATAAACCCTGATACACTTCTGGAGGTAAAGAGGGGTGACCATAAGCTCTGAGGTTAAGGTGAACTTGAGAGGTCACCCAACTAGAATGAGGCCTTGGAAAGCAAAAGCTTCCAAACCACAGTGAGAGCTGAAAGGGCCCTAACGTCAAGATGGCATCCGACTCTCTCACTGAAAAGTCCAATGGTGTGAGTTATTTCTCACTGCAATGAGTCATAAATACAACTTGTTGAACAACAAGTGTGTTCCTGGTGGGCTTTGGCTGAATGCTATTGACACTCTGTTCAAGCCACTCAAACTCTATCAGCCAATATCACAATTCTGCCTGAAGATGACTAAGCTCCAGGCCCACACAATGCTCACTAGTTCACACACACACAGACACACACATTCCATTGGGACATCTGAAAGAAGCAAAGGGGTAGGGAAATTCAGAAGCCCCTCAGAAATTCAGAGGAAGAACATAAAAATTCCTTGGACCATCACTGGTGAGTTTCTGGACCATCTTACTAAATATGGCAACACCCCACCCCGGCCACTAAGAAAAGCTTTTTAGACACTAGGGAAATAAGCTATCTCTGAGCTTTAGAGAAGAACATGAAAAAGGACCCTGTTTTCCAAAATGTCAGGCCATAGAAGACTAACATTGTCCTTGATCCACTACTGTCAGGAGTAGAAGAAAGGGAAACAACCAAAGAGAAAATATATAGGGTGGGGCAAAAGTAAGTTTGCAGTTGTTCATATGGAAAATAATGCAATAATTAATGAATACTAATACAAGAATAAACTCTGTTTCACATACTCACAACTGTAGACCTACTTTTGTATGGAAGACTACTGGGAGAACCCCATATGGAAGACTAAAGGGAGAACAAAGAAAGGGGGCATCTTGGCAGCATCTGAACCCCTAGAGCACTAATAGAATCATTCAATGTAAATATTATTCCATTTAACTAACTCTTGAGTTTAGACTGTCTCAAATTTTTTTTGCCATACTTGCCTTATTTCCCCAAATGCATCTTAGGGCCCTGAGGACAGCACCACTATCAGCTGAGCTGTCTCCCCTTCTAAACAAACAAGCCAACAGCCACAACAAAACACACAAACCTCCCCTAGATTCAAAATCTTCTTCCTATTACCACCCCATTTATTTGCATCTCTTTAAAGCAAAATTCAAGAGTTACCTATACTTACTATCTTTATGTCTTCACTTCTTATTTTCCTGAGCTCTCTCCAATCAGGCTTCCAAACAGAATGGCTTCCAAACCACTTCACCAAAACTGCTCTTGTTAAATTCAACCCTCACTTACTTGATATTCCAGCAGCATCTGACACTCCCTCCTTTTGAATATTATTATCACTTGCCTTTATCACGAAAACCACTCCTCTAATTTTCATTGGCTGTTCCTTCTCTATCTCCTTTGCTGGTTCTTTCTCCTCTGCACTAAACTTGAAATGTTGTAGCACCCAAGGGGTCTGACCTGGGCCCTCCTACTAATTTATCTACAAGCATTTCCTAGGCCCAGATAGAAATGTTACTATGAGCCACGTATGCAATTTTTAATTTTCTAGTAGCCACATTTTAAAAAGCAAAAAAAAGCAGATGATGTCACTTTTACTATTTTATTTAACTCAATAGAACCAAATTATCATTTCAAAGTGTAATCATTACAAAAATAATATCAATGAGATATTTTACATTCTTTTTTATACTAAGTCTTTGAAATCTGGGTTGTATTTTAAACATATAGTACATCTCAATTTGGGCTAGCCACATTTCAAGTGCTCAATAGACACATGTGGCTAGTGGCTACCATATCCTAGGTGATCTCATTCAGGCTTTAAATACTACTTACATTCTGAACTCCAAAATCTCTGTATCCAGACTAGACCTCTTCCCTGAACTCCATATCCCTATAACCAACTGCCCAGCTACCATCTCCACCTCACAGTGCATATCAAACTCTTGGTTCTCCTCATACTGTCTTTCCCCATTTTCCTCATCTCAAGAAATGCCACTAGCCAGATGCTCAGACTAAAGCCTAGGAGTCACTGATTCCTTTATTTCTTTCCCATGCCACATGTAATCCAACAGTAAATTCTGTGACTCTTCCTCTCTTCCTTCAATATATTTCTGTAATGCAACCATTTCTTGCTTTGTTTGAACCACCATTATATTTTTGTTGGATTACTGCAATAATGGGTCTCACTGTTTCCATCTTTGCCTCCTTATACTCCACACAGCAGCCATATCAGTCATGTCAGCCCTCTGCTCACTCCCCCCCACCCCCCTTAGTGGCTTACCCAGCTCCTTACCTTGGACCTTATGTGACCTGGCCCCATGACAATGCCCCAGTGCCCACCGATCTTGCTACCCCCTTACTTCATCCCTTTGCTTCAGCCTCACTGGCCTTCTTGCTAACTCCCAACACACCCCGCCCCTTTCAATCTCAGGGTCTTTGCATTTGCTGCTCCCTCTGCCAGGAGGATTCTGCCCCACGTTAGCTGCTTGGCTGACTCTCTTGTAGCATTCAAGTCAGCTCAAATGTTACTTCCCAGAGAAGACTTCCATGATTATCCTAGTTAAAGCCTCCCCAGTCTCTCTCGTCACATCATCCTTTATTAATATCTTCATAGCATTCATCACTTCACTACCTAAAAGTTTATTCTATATTAATTTCATTACTGGTATCTTGTTTGTCTCCTCTACCAGAATGTAAACTCCATAAGGGCAGGGACCTTGCCTATTTTTTTCATTACTGGATCTCCTAGCACCTAGAATGGTACTTGGCACATAGCAAGCACTCAATTAATATTTGTTGAGTGAATGCCCAAATTTAATAAAGGAAGGGGAAGTAATGTAAGAACCATTTTTGCAGTCAGCAATTTCTCAGAAGTAGAGGTGTGCTATGGGAGGCAGAAGACTTGTCCTGGGAGAGGAACCCCCTTTTTGCCCAACTTAGCAGGACCTGCCTTCCTTCCCAGCAAAGTGGGTCCCACCCCAAAATTATTCACCTGTGCAGAACCAAGTACTCTTGGGCCTCTCTTGTCCTTGGTGCATAGAGTCCACTCTCAGGTGTCCTAGCCACAAGACCCCCTTGGTGTAGAGCCCCACTCAGCTGGGCTAAGCCTTGACCCTCATGGAGGAGGTTTCAGGAACAGATACCCTGCCCCTTCCTACTTTATAGCCACCACCACTGGCACAACCTCTTTCTTTTTGCCCCCAAGCTGACTTATTAACCAGAGCTTTGCTTCCCACTATCACCTCATAGAGGCATCATTGTGTTTTTTTCATGTGTCTTGCTGCGGCTAATAAAGTTTTAAAGTTAATTTGTTTCTTAACTGTACCAAGGCTCTTTAACAATAGCCTTGGGGTTGCCTCCATTGGTCTATTATTTATGAAATTCAGCAAAAACTACTTTCACCTTACTGGTATCTCAAAAAAAAAGTAACAATGTTCTCTCCAAATGC